TCACCAGCAGACGCCTCTAGGAGTGACCACTTATCTCAAGTCACCAGCTCTGCTCTTAATAATACAGCGAGAGCGAGCAAGTCAAAGAGAGAGAGATGGAAAGAGAACACAAGTGGAGAAAGTAAGAGAGAAAGAAACAATGAAACCGTAAGAGAAAGAGGGAGACAATAAGAAAATGGCCCAAATCAAGGCTGGAGGCTATACAACAAACAACTGCTTCAACTTAATAATGACAAAACTTGATTTCAAACAAGACTCTACCACAACACAAAAAGGGTATTAGTTCCAACAAGATGCTCTGTGACTTACCATTTCACTGAAATCAGGCAAAGTTTTTTACTCATTTACTCATTTATCCTTATGTCGTTTCAAAAATTTAAAGACTTTCGTTCTGCCGTTTAAAGGCCTAGACACCAAAAGTCGACTGTGGTGCCATTTCACATCATTTGCGCCTGGGACAAAAAAAATGTGCATCAAAATACCACAAAAACGACAGCCAACTCTCCGTACCAGCAGGTGGCAGTAGTCTGTATTCACCATTAAAAAAACAAAACCGGAAGAGCTAGGACTACGAATATACAATGAGAAGAGCATTCTTGTTTGTGCCCCTTTTCGATTTTACTGTTTACTTGCTTTTGTCACTTAAGTTATTTTCATGCAATGGTTCACTAAGCTGAACACCCAATCAGAGTGGTCACTCACTGACAGGCTCTTATTTGACATGCTCAATTGTCCGAAAAGCCATGACCATGATCAGACTACTGGCAATGGTGTGGAACAAATGGCAAAAACTAGGCCAACAGACGCTCAACGACAGCTTGACATTGTTAGCTTGGTGTTTATGGGCCTTATCGCAAAAAAAAAACAAAAAAGAAATTATGAAGAAAATTCATGCTGATCTATTCCAAAAACAGGCTTCTATTGGAATGGCGTGAAGATGTTTAAATGATAACTCAATTGCTAGCTTTGGGTGAACGATTCCTTTAACATCCAAGCATGGATAAGGATTTGTCTGGAGCTTCTAGCACTCAATCCGAGTCAATGCAGACAACCTCACTAATGCAAAGGTAGAGTTCCTCGCCCCAGGAGTATCCCTACTCTTTACTTAAGAAAGGGATCCATTTCCTATCTCAGAACAGAAATGGGAGCTCTATAAACATGCATAATTCATGAGGTCTCTCTTTCTTTACAAAGGTCTTACAGTAAATATACCTTCACTATGAGTATTGACCAACTTTCTAAAACGTTTAGACACAATCTTTCGACACAAAGTATGGCATGAGGCTTCAGACCACATCCAGCCTCTAAGAGCCACTTTAGAGAGGAAAACATCTGAAGCGGGGCCATAACATCACCGTTATGGACATTAAAGAGGACTTTGGAAGTTTAATCAATGTCCAGTTTGTAAAGCTTTACATTTGCTCCCTCAGCCCTGGTTACATCCTCAATTCAGATTAAATAAATGCTCTCTGTAACTTTTGAGGTTTTTCAGGTTCTCATTACTGAACAGCCTAGCAGGATCCAAAGAGTCTACGTACCTCATATCATCTAATGAGCGAGACTCTAACGGCGTCAAGAGCGCTCAATCTCGCTAATCAGCACCTACTGTAAGCCCAGTCATCACTCAGTTCAGTCAGCGAGGTAGAGCTAAGCTCATTTCCCTCTCACCGGAATGAATAAATTGGCCCTAGTCTGTCTTCAAACCACCTTGTCCCGACAGAAGGTCAATAAATCAATAATGCGTGCAAATACACGAAAAAGCAATTCAAAGTCGCCATTTTTCCTTCTCAAGGATGTCCCTACAAGCTCAGAAATGTTTCTCTTCCCTGCTGACAGGTCTCCTCAGACATAGCCTAGCTCCGCTTCATGAATATTCCAGGACATGAAGGAGGAAAACAGCAGCTATGACAGTCACACAACCCTGGAATGACTTCATAATCAATCCCATGATTCCTCTCTGCCTGCGAACCATGAGTACATGCACCTGGGGCTCGCCAGGGCAGATACCCAATGACAAGTCTCTCCGTTATGCTGCAACAGCCACTTATTGTTTGTTTGCACGTCACTTCCTGTTTGTTGCTGCCGTGTGTTTTGAGTTTGAGCTCCGTCAAGTTAATTCTTGACTTATTGAACAGCAAAGCAATGAATCTATCCTATCTGTCCATCGCTAGTGAAGATATACATGCATTAGCCATGTTTTCTGTAATGAGAGGCCGGCTTATTTCGAAGACGGTGTAAGGCATGAAGGACCATTTATTGACACGCTCTGAAGTGTACTGTCGACTTACTGTGCTTGACTTCTTCCCTTCCATCCGCGGTCCTGAGGTGAGAACAGCAACTGATTGCAGAGCAATAAAGAGGGATGAACTCCATAATGAACTCAATTGGTTTTGTGTTAATTGCGGCTCATTTCAATAACTAATATCGGTCGTAATATTGTTCTAAAGGCTCAGGGGAGCAATAACTGACAGTTGGCGAGATGCACAACATATTAGCAGAGCTGCAGTTGGAACTGAAGGATCACCTCCGATCAGTAAAACTGGTTGCCTCGTGCACTTATCCCCAAACTAATGCATTCTAACAGATTGTGTGCAGCATCTTGGGTGTAATTGACCTGAGGTTAATCACACTGCTGACCTTTGAGAGATGACAGAGGAGGGTACAAGATATACTGCACATTCGCTCTGACTTCAAGACAACAAGCAATATGTTCTCCAAAAACAACCTTTTTCATAATACAGCTCTAATCCCATTAGCAATTCAACAGAATACGATTCCGGCTGGTTTACAAAGCCATTTATCAAACCGGCTTGTTCAGGACGAAATACATTTGGTGCATGAAGAAAATTAACAAACTGTGTCTGGGTGCATCTGTGCATATAACCAAAAGAACTTCAAGAACAAAAGAGGGGCCACCAGACCCCAATTCTCCCGAGGGAAGATGATGACAGTCCTTGAAGCACAATGCTGACCAACTACAGGTTTCCTAACTTTCTTTGCCACCTGCTGGACCTCTATGCTGCTTCAACTTGCTTTAAAAGATCAGCTATTGTTCTAGTCCCCTGGGGCCGTAAGAAACTTTAATGACTTCGAACTCATGACAATTTGGTGGTCCTATCGACAATTGAGCAACTTGTTCTGACCTACTTTGAAACAAGTCCCTGCTGCACCCCAAGAAGTTCTCCGACTTGGAAAGGATAGTTGACAACAGGCGTCAAATGGAGCTTTACTTCTTGTCATAACAACCTGCCCATCTGAAACCCTACAGCAAGATTTATAACTAAACGACTACCTTGGAAGGGAGGTAAATACTAAACTAGCCCCAATGTGGTGGTCTAGATCTACACTAGAATTGTTGAGTCTGCCCTCACTTCACCAATAACAATCTGGACTAGCCTATTCCTTTAGTTTCTTCAAACTGATGTTGTGAAAGCCATCAGACAACTCTAACACTCCAGCCATCACCCATTTGAAACACTGATCAAGACCAGCCTTTTCCTAAAGCAGTAGGTTCTTATTATCAGATCAACAACATCTCTGACACTGTACTGTACTCTAGACACAAAACATTTCCAGGATGTTACATATACTGTCATTCAACAGTCATTAATTTATATTTAAGTAACCTTGAAAGTAATAATAACTTTAATTATATTTTAATTTCAATCCATTTTGATGCTGAATTTTAGTTACAAGATAAGTATCTGTGTGTTTAATTCTGTATGAGAGAGCAATGAGTGTGAATGGACAGTTCACCACAGGATGGTATGGGAAAGTGACCATTCACACTCCAATGATGAGGACCAGTCCCATTGGAAAACCACTGTAATTGGCTGCACACTGAGCTACTCTTATGCATGGTGACATCTGGAAACACGCAGGTCATTTCTATCATCTCATCGACTGCCCGGGAGAATATTCCAATCGCAGACAGAGTGGATCCATATTCCCTGCAGACAAGCTGGAAGTTAGAAGCAGTGACATGGGGGAAAAGAAAAGATGCAGAGCAAAAATAGGGTGAAATGTTGATCAGGAATGGAGCTGAAGGGGTGTTGATGACTATAAAGTGGGCATGTCGAGAGTCATAAGGTCCCTGTGGTAGAAACGAGCCCTATTTGTTGTCTTACAGTCATGGTTTATTTCTGAATTTCCTTTGTTGCCTTCTCCACAGCAAATATTCTACTTCTCCATTCACCACCCTCTTATTTTATGTTTGTTCCCCATCACACCCACATAGACCTTGTGGGGTCTAGTAAACTCATTCAAGCACCTACAAATGCACACACACATATAGAGCCCAAGTAAAGTCTTTAGCACTCTGTAGAATGAGAAGAAAGGTGTTGTGGATGATTTATGTGTTTGATTTCACTCACTGCATTTGAGCACACACTATTCTGATGAGAGTATTAAATCGGCTAGGACAAAGGATAACAGTCAGTGAGGAGCGGACATATATCATCTGAACGTCCCCAAACGAAGAAGTCATGAAAGCATGCACAAGGAGCGAGGCATTCACCTTTATCAAACTGCATAATAATTAGCATTAGCACTTGCAAATGACAAGCATCGACTGATGTAACCGGTCAAGAGCGCTGCCAAGATTAGCTCCTGAAAAGCCACCACAAACATTTTAAGACTTCAAACTCGTATATGCATTTATTTCTGCACAAAGCTCAAAAAAAAAAAAGGAAAACCAAAAAACAAGCATCATTAGGTCCAGTGGCAAGCAAAGCTTCATGTAAACTGTCCCAATCCCCAGAAGACAAAAATCCCTGCACATACTCAGGTAATGAGAGCAATGGGAGGGAGGTATGTGTGTTTATGTAAAATTAGCTCAGTTATAATGATGTAGCGGTGAAGGGACCATCGTTAGAGAGGTCACTAAAGAAACCAATAAGCAGAGAAGACATACAAACAAGCGGGTGAAAAGTGTACCTGTGCCGCTCTCTAATGGGGCTTCAACAGCAGCCATCTCAACAATCTGAACAAGGGTTACTCACTAGAGGAGTGCAGGGCGTCCAGTACTCTGGGTTCAGCTCGGCTCGGGAGCGAAGGTCCAGATAGTCGGGGTTCAGTTCGGTGCGGGCACGGGTAAGCGTTCCCTTAAAAGCCAAGAAAAGGCAGGGTTACAAGTCCACCCAGTAAGCAACTTTTTCAAAGATGTGAAATGAGTGATGATATGGCTGGAATCACAAAGTGTGGGGAGTGATGGGAACCAGAGAAAGTAGAGGAAGATAGATTTCTCACAGAAGAATAAATGAGAGAAACAGGATAATACTGGATATACGTATGGATACTGGATATGACATTTTTATATTTAGATTCAATTACCTCTCAATCTTTAAAAAAAAAAATTATTATTATTATTAACATTGTTAAAATGTATTTTTCAGAACATATTAAAATCAATATGCACACTGTACATTAAAATTAATTTTTTTATTTTATTTCAAAATGTTAATATTCAGCCATTTGTAGGTTATCAGTCAATAAATAAATTATATTACAAATTATTTATAAAATAATTGTAATATCGATATTCAATATCATGACCGATGTTGGGGGAGAAACTGTTTTTTTGGAATAAGGTCTAAAATTATTTTAAATAAGTTGGTGCAAGCTGATTAGTAGCTGGTTGACCAGCTAACATGTTAACCATCATGGATCAGCTTGGACCATTAAATGACAAGTTTAGAACAGCCATTATGTTGCAAAACCACTAGCTTAAACAAGATTTTCCAGTCTCGTGTTTCCAGCCTCGTGTTTGATAGACACAACCTGCTTTTTCTTTAGAATGCGCATGACGCTTGCTATTTCAAGTCTGAATCTTGCAATTCAGGCCACCAATTTCCTGTTTCAACAGGTATTACAAATGCTGTGCTTCCTATTACATGAGGCCTTTAATGGAACTCAACAAGACACTTCCAAAACCAGGAGAATGAATGGCATTCTGTCACTTTTCATAAACCCGACAGAAAAACACGGTTTCTGAGAATTTCCAACCTTCGGCAGCATCCTTAATATTTTACACACGAGCATACAATTAGGGGGCTCTCAATTTCCAAACACTCAGTGAACTCAAAAGGTGACAAATTACACAGCGCTTTTAAGCTGAGGCAGAACTGAAGATGTTTTCTTCTTCACGCTTTGTGTCCAAAATGATACAGACTGATTATATCTCCTTTGAAAATGAAATTGCCTTTATAAGCATACGGCATTTGTGTTTGACAAACCTCCGCTGTGAATCTCAGCGAAATATCCTGCTTTCAAATCAGTCTGCCCTTTGTTAGGTAATCTGCTTTTCTCTCGCGTGCACGCTCCGTCTTTTCTCTTCTGTGTTTTTTTGTTACATGCAATAGAAAGAGGGACGCATATGAAACAAACACATATGAGTGGTGACATTTCAAATGATATTAGAGTGATACTCAAGCAGGGAAAGCAATCAAAAAGGCTTTGGCGGAGGCAAGGCGACCTCATTGAAATTCACAAACAAAGTGAGAGAAGCTAAAACATATTGCTTATCGTACAGCCATGAATTAAAACCTAAATGCTGACCTGAAAGAAAACAAATAAACAAAACAAATAAAGGCTTTCGTATATTTACATGCACGGCGAACAAGGCAAGATGGGAAATTACGAAACACGCGCTAAGCATCGCATGAGATTCAAGGTCACGCAAAAAGCGTGAAGCAGGCAACCTGCGCTCAAATGCCTTCTGGAGATGCTATGAATACTAAAGAAATGGTTGATTTGCTTCGGAAAGAGCCGTTTTTCATTTTCCAACAAAATCCAGTAAATTGCGGCCATGCGAACACTGTATGATGTATACCGTAATTATCTGTTGATTTACAAAATGCCCACCCAGTAATGAGGCAGGGCCGACGAGAGGCCCGGGCATACATCACTGTCTCTAACCCCAGAACGCCTTCGAGAGCGCACCCTCGCCCTCTTGCACGTGCTATTTATCTCTACTCCATCTCTGCGCGCTTCGCCTCATGAAATCTGAAGTTACGTTCGCAATGCCAAGGCGTCAAAAAGTCTGTTTCCTTAACCACTATGTCTATTTACTTATTTGTCTGGAGTTCGGTGCCGCCCACACTCTGTGTTTTAATTAATGTCACGTTGACCTGGACAACATGCTTTGGCAGTTGGCAAAGTCGTTTAATGCCAGCGTGTTTCTCTACTCTATCCATTAGTGAGCGAGCGTGAAGGAAAGCGTATTCTAGAGCGCTGGCGTATGGTTTGTACTCTTTAATTGTATTATTAATTTATATTTTTACTGTAATCTTACTCTGGCACATACAGAGCGTGTTTGGTGTGTGTAGTCGTGAGAACAAGCCTTCTGTGTGCATTCGAGAGCTTTTCTCACAGCAAGATGTGTGATCAAAGCCAGAAGGAAGCTTGCTTCCGTTCTGTAAAAGTACAAGCTGTCTGTCATCTGTCCTTCATTCCCTCAAACAAAGCATGTTCTGCTGAACTGAATATATTCTGAGCTTTAAGAAAGTAGAAAACAGAGCCTCTGTACTTCATGTTTAGTGCAATACATTTGCAGCAAATAAAAAAAATGTACTGTGGAAGGTTTCAGCTCCATGTTTCTGCTAGTCACGCTTTTGCTTTGGTTCTAATAGTCGACATGTAACAGATTTGGGTCATGCATTTTGGTGTTTAGTTGGGTTGGGGGAAATTCAGAATTTAATAACTGACTGCCTTTCAGTTGATGGGTGTGAATGGCACACCCCATTGGAATTTGAATTGGAATAACAGGAAGAATTGATTTCATTAGAAATGAATAAAAAACAAAGGTAGTGCATTGGTGGGAATGATTGTTTTTCCACCCTGGAACACAAAAATGTATTAATTAAATCTGATTAAATATACATTCAAATATACCATTCAAAATGTGGGGTTTGGTAAGATTTTAAATGAGTTTGAAAGTGGAAGTCTCTTAGCTCACCGAAGCTGCATTTATTTGAAAAATACAGTAAAAATATTATAATAAATTTTTATAAAAAATATTATTGTATTATAACTCTTTTCTATTTGAATATATTTTAAAATGCAATTTATTTCTGTGATGTAATGCTGAATTTTCAGCATCATTACTCCAGTCTTCAGTGTCACATGATCCTTCAGAAATCATTCTAATATGCTGATTTGCTGCTTTAGAAACCTTTCTCATTACTATCATTGTGTGTGTATGTGATAGACAGGTGATGCTGATGGCACTTTTCCATTTACTTTTGTTATCTAGATTATCTATCATCATTTATATAGAGAGCTTTTATACAGAGGGCCATGTTTACAGGAAAGAGGTCAAACGCTCATACACACATACGCACTAACATCAAATGCTTCATAAAGACACCACAACCAGACGGATGATATAAATCAAGGGCTTTTAAAAATATAGTGTGCCTGAAGGGATGCTATGGGACTGTACGACAACCCTCTGTCAATCACATGAACTTTGGTTCAAACAATAACACCCACAGCACATCTATTGATCTCATGATGTATCTCTCTTCAGGGGCCCGTTAATTTCACACAAAATAAACTATATCTCCACCGATTATTAAGATAAAGAGAGAACTTTAGCTACTAGGTGTTAATTTATAGTCTGTGCCCTGTTATTGGTGGTCTTTTTGTGCACCTTTATTGGACAACATTTATTTATAATTATTTTCAAAATCATTTTTTAGAGATTACAATGGAAGCCTGTTTCTGGCATGAAAATAAATAAATAAATACATTTATATTTTTCTCACAATTCATACTTTTTTACTTTTTTTTTTTGGTTTTTTTTGGTTTTTTTTTGTTTGTTTGTTTTTTTTGTTTTGTTGCCACAAAATAAAAAAATTAAAAGTTAATTGTGAGTTTTTATCTCATAATTATGCACATATATCTTGCGATTCTGAGTTTATATCTTGCAATTCTATCTCTCTCTCTCTCTATCTCTCAGAATTGTGAGGAAAAAAAGTCAGAATTGTGAGATATAAACTCGGAATCACAAAGGAAAAAGTCTGAATTATGAAAAATAAATTTGCATACTTTTTTTTTTATCCCATGGCAGAAAAAAAGTTTCCACAGATTACACCTACTAATATTTCTAGCCAAATAAAAACAGAAAAAAAGTATATATTTTTCATGTATACAAAAATGCATGACTTTCCCAGGCCTGGAAATCACAATTCCACACATTTCCAGGTGTTCAGTGACTCTGAGAACCATGCAACCTGCTGCTTCAAACTTCAAAACTAAACATATAAGATGAAACATCCACTATAGTGCCCCTTACTTACTCGCCCAGCGTTATGAATTTGCTATGACATATTCTAAATGCAAGAGCGTATGAAATTTGGCTTATGTAGCCTAAAGTTCATGTTTATAGATGTTTCAGGCCTTTCATGTTCAAAGTCACACCGGAGACTTCCTACATCCATACATGCGTACGTTTTATAAATCATGCTTCCGTTTCCTACTCCTCATCTTTTCCTCAATTTAAAACAGTCTTTTAAAATTGAGGCTTGTAATTTCACTACACACTCATCAAGAAATCTGCCCTCTATTTTTCTTCAAAGCTAAACGTACCCACCAAAAATAATAGCTCGTAATGAGAATGTCAAGGGCTGACTGCAGCTTTTTAAACTAAAGTATCACTTGCCATTTTTTTAAACAAACGTTCTTTTGATTCTTCCTAATTAGGTTTCTTCCTGCCGCGGTGATGCCTGTGAGTTCCTGCGGTCTCTGTGACAAAGCGTCACAAAATCGAGGGTGGTCCCGGCGCTGCAGTTGTTACGTGGGTGACTTCGGCACAGTTGAAAGTGCTTCACGTGACCCAGCTGAGATGTGCACCTGTGTGAAGGAGCGTGAGCGCCTCATCTCAAGGCCTCTTCATTAAAGCATCCAAAGCATTCAGCCTAATTAATCTTTTCAGTGCACTTCACTTCTCTCCAGATAAGCCCTTTCTGTTTGTTTCCCCGCATGATAATCAGGCAAACTTCCAGTTACAGTGGCAACATGTGCCTCCTACCGAGCCCCCATGGGTCACTTAGCGAAACTGCAGATGCCTGCAGAAAAAAAACAAGAGATAACTAAACACATT